GTATAAATAACACTTATTTTTAACACAACAAACACACACAACATATTCTCATTTTCTCTAAATTCCTCCAAAATATATTCAATTTCTTTAAACTCTCTCTACAATATATTCAGAAAATAGGATCATCTTCATCTGACGATGAAAGAAGAGCTCTTATTTTTATTGGTTCATGACAGGCTGTTATCAATGGTGGCAACAGGGCCAACGAGAAGAAGCAAAATCGGCCCAATGCTCGACCTAGCGTGAGCGTTAAAATCGTGACCGGGCACCTGCACACGAGCTCAATGACTACTTCACTACTCCGTGTGTTTGCACACCGGAGGATTTTAGCATTCGTTTTTAGATGAGTCGTTCTCTTTTTTATGCATACTTGCTGATATTGAACGCGAGGTGTCTTGGTTCTCCCAACACTTTGATGCAAGGGGCTGGCGTGGTTTTATCAGTGTCCAGAAGTACACCGCCGCACTTCGTCATATGGCGTACGAGACGACTAGTGATATGTTCGAAGAATTATTTGAGCTTAGAGGGACGCTTTACAAACAGAAATATTATATATCTTGCCGATAGAATATATCCAGATTAATCCGCAATTGTCAAGTCCCTCTCTGAACCAATGGGTCTTAAATGTCATTCCTACAAAAAAGACCATGAGGCGGCGAGAAACGATATCGAACAAGCCTTCGGAGTGTTGAAGGGCAAGTTACACATTCTAAATCGTCCGTCTAAGTGTTATTCTTTAACAAAATTTAGGAGTATCATATGCGTATGTATTATTCTTCATAATATGATTATAGTAGACAACGAGTTTGCAATTTGTGATTACAACCCGGACGAGGATGTGTCTACGTACGAAGAAATCAATGAAAAAAAACAAAAAAATTGCCCTGAAATTGAAGTCGAGAGATTCACAATGCACCAATGGGCGGAATTGATTGAAGATATTTTTAGTCACTCAAATAATCAATAATTTCTTCGTAATGTAATGTAATTTTTAATTTTTTATTTATGTAGTTATTATTCAATTCTTATTTCATTAATGTAATTTTTTTTATTGAATGTAAGTTTTTTATTTATTGAATTATTGTCGTTAAATTCATTTAATTAATGAAATCTTATTAATTTAATTTTACAAGATGTGTATTTAAAATGTAAAAAATAAAGGCTTGAAGCTCTAGTTTGAAGGCATGAAGCTTCAAACCAGTTTCCAGTGAAATTGTGATATAAGTTAAAACTGGCGTGACAGAAAGAAAAATTTTGAAACTACGGAACTTCAAATGTATTTCCAGTGCTCTTAGACTTTAGAGGATGGTAGATGGTACAAATCTACTGA